AGAAATATACATTTTCGATGAACGCACATTTTCTATCCAGGCCCGAGAAATATACCCTTGTGTGTGTGTGTGTTGTGTGTGTGTGTGTGTGTGTGTGTGTGTGTGTGTGTGCTGTGTGTGTGTGTGTGTGTGTGTGTGTGGTGTGTGTGTGTGTGTGGTGTGTGTGTGTGTGTGTGTGTGTGTGTGTGTGTGTGTGTGTGTGTGTGTAGATTTTCTAACAGGAACAGGATCCAGCTTGGTGCATGCGTTCTGAAATAACTTCGCATGTAAGAAAAACATTTTTATTCAGATCGAAATACGTTTGTCTAACGGCTAGAATGTTTTGTGTATTTAGTTCTGACCTATGCGTACACGCCTTTTTAGCAAGCTGGCGTATACAATTTAAGAGTACTTGAAAACCGTAATTTCTCGTGGTTTTGAAAACAATAAGATGCAAATTGAACGCCAGCCATTTAGTAACTTTGCTGCGGCAGAAAATGAATGGTGGTTTGCCGGTCGTCGCTGGTAAGGAGGTACCTCCTGTTGGCTGGTGTTTGGTGACCGGTGTTGATTGGCCAAACGCATGAATTTTACACAGTTGTATTTTCGTCATCTGACTCCAGCATGAACCAAATCACGAACGTTTCAAATAGCAATGCACGATAACTGCTAATTAAAGTCGCACAGCCCAGGAGGGGAGAGGTCAGCTTGAGGGCAAAATTTTTTTCATGTGTCATTGCATTTAGTTAAGGTTTCCACGTTGTTCAAAAACTGAGCACCTATAAAAAACGAGAACAAAATATGAGGATTACGAACTCAGAGAGAAAACACAAATGCCTGTGAAAGCAACGTCGCTGGTCTTGTCCGTTTCAGTTGTTTCCATTTTACACGATATGTCCATTGTAACTCGCAAAGATGGGCATTCAACGATATGGTGCTAAAACATGGCTCCATGTCTTTTCATGTCCTGGACAATTTTACATGAATGAGGACGTGTTCCAATCAGAGAATGATGAGCTAACAGAGTGGTATGCGGTATTTTCCTCATAGCTGTGTCGGCATTTCCGTGGAAGTGTTCCCATTCAGGCACGCTGATCATTGGTCGGCTGTAGTGTCCGCTGGCAGCACACCGACATCACGTGACAAATCGGTGCTGATCGGCGGTTTAAACCGGCAAACTAGCGCGCTTTACGATAGGGCGGGATAGAGGACTCAGAGGCTGGGCGGGATAACGCATACTTCGCGTTACGTGCACGCCCGCCTACACATCGTCTAAAAGCGCAATCAAGGGAAACCCCGGGGTCCCGGGACCTCTTATTTGGAACTTTGCATGGGTCGCTCGGCCTCTTGGTCTTGGCTTCAAGAACATCAACACTACTGGGACCCCATAAAAGTCAGACCACCCACGTACCTTTGGCCGGAAGGGATAGGTTTAAAAAAAACTTACTTTCACTCGAGAACGCGGGTTCCAAAACACTTACTTCTGGTCGAGGAGAGCAGCTTCTAAAATACTTACCTTCGGTCGAGATGGTCAGGTTCTGAAACTGCGGATGTAACGCACCTCCGACGCATACACAGTCGCATGTTTTGCGTGTGAGCAGAAAATCGCTCAGAACTGACAGATCGCTTTCAGATCCTGACAGAATCGATGGATCTTATCGTAACTACTTTGAATTGTACATTGTTTTTAACATCCCGGATATGGACGTGCTTTCCTGCAACGCAAACGCATGTGTTATTCGCGCGCGACGGGTGGACAGCTCACCCCGCATAAACCTAAGGTAATTATCCTGCGTGGAGCAACCCACGCAAGAAACACGAAGACGTGATATGCAACGTCGTTAAAGCACCCATTCTAGCGAACACGCACTTTCGCTCAGAGGAGCTCGCCGGTAGAGCGACAGAGCCGCCTCTCAACGAGCCCACCGCTGTGACATCAGTTCACACGCGTTACAAGTCGATTGTTATCACCCCGCCGGACACGCCGACCGTATCGCTTCCGGCCGGCTCCACCAGCGACCTGAGTCACCCCGGCCGCTCCCCAAACACCGAGGGGGCGCGTCGCCGCGCGGCATTCGTGGCGCGCGGGCCGGAAGCCCCCGCCGACGCTCCGGCCGGGCCAGCGCCGCGACGGTCACAGTAAACATGCCCGTCGTGACGGTCACTGTAAACATGCCCGCCTCGGCCGGCACTCGGTTGGCTGGCAGCGCCGGCGGAGCGCCTGGGCGTGCGTGTGCGCGACCTGTGCTGAAGCTGCGGACGGCGCTCTACTGCCTCAGCAGCCGGCGAGCGCCGCAGCTTGAGCGGGGCGTCGAACGGACCCTGCACCCTTTCAGCCGAACGCTTAGTCGCTAAAGCACACCGTTATCAGTTCGGGCTGTCTGTGTTGCTCGGCAGAAGCAAGGCATCACTGCAGGGTTGACGAAACCCAGCGCAGATGTGACTTAGAGGGTCCTTCTGTTTACAGCTTTCTCTCCAACCGGCTGACCCGGCCTGCTGGCCAAACGCGTTCCTCACATTCAGCCGCAAGGGGGCACACTGTCCGTCGTCGATTTTCGGCGCAGTCGCCTTGCGGTTGAATTGTGCATGCTTGTGCCCGAGGCTGCGGCGAGTGGCAGCCCGTACGCGAACCGCGCGGCGGCCAAAAGTATGCGGTGGCTAATCTGCGACCACGCTTGTGGTCGGTCGTGTGTGGCTGCCGGGTGTAATAGGACGGCGGTGACGAGGCAGGTTTTCTTTCGGTGCCAGGTGCACTGGTTGGCCTGGTTTGAACACGCGAGGTCCCCGCAGCGGTCCGGCCCGTGCAGCGACAGTCGCCCACGCATTGTCAGTGTAGACATAGGCGCACGGGGCCTCTGGTGCGCGGATAACATTCAGTTAGGGAGGTTTGGTAGTGCTGGAAAAGTGTGAGTGGAGTGGAGGGATCTGTACGACACGATGTTATTCATCGATCGCACGCTTTCACTGCGAGACGAGGGGATTTGCGATACGTGCATGCTTGTTCGGAGTACCCCAGGAGAGTATAGCTATGGTAAAGGGAAACAGCATTCCGTGGCGGTTGCTGGATGCTCCTGTGCAGTCGCCATGGGATAAAATGAGGATCGGTCAATTCCACCACAATGGTTTGCGGGACACCCGCACGGCAACTAACAGATGTGTTATTTTACACATGCATGTTGTATGCGTCTGATTACCATCATCACACCATCAATGGACCAAATGTGAGCAGCGTTGCTCATATGCGATTTAAGCTCTCCGTGTGTTCAATCCAAAGCCCTGATATACGCGCTCAACGTTGCGTGACATGCAACTGGTGGCCATCGCTCTAACCAGCGATGCAGTCTTCTAGGATGAGTGTGGTAACACGACGACTGTCCTTTCCTGGGTTTGTCCGACCGCTGGCATCTTCCATGTGCATTAGCTTGTGGGTTATCCACGAGTTCCCTGTCAGCATACTGTGGTGTTGAATACCCCGATTTGTCCGCGCGGGTCTGCCGGCGTTGGCCAGATAGTAATTATTGTGTTTGTTCGCTGGCATTTGACAAGATGCGTGCCTTATAGCTCGAAAGGGCGAAGGATTTTCATAAGATGAATTCATAAGCTGAATGCTGTTAGGTTTTGCTGCATGCCTCAGACGCTTTGAAATGATTTAGTTCAATGAAGATGAGGCCGCTAAATCGCTCGATTTCTGCGGGAACCACATTAGTATCTCCCGTTATGTTATGTGACATTTCTTTTGGCGTATCTAATCAGCCCCACAATCACGTTAAGATTGAGAAGGATCGATTTGCAGCGAAAATCGCACAGATAACTGAATTGCCTGAGTTGTCTGAATAGTCTTCGGCGTTGTCCGTTTGACAACTGTGCAGGTGAATCGCGTTGTCTCAGTGATCACCGAGGCTGGCTGCAGGCACTTTGTCAACAACAGAAGAGGGTTGTGTCATTTATCTGTAGACACATCGTCCCTGGAACGGTGGGAACAGACACGACGTCATAGACACAACGTCCCTGTAATTTTCACACTGTCACTAAACATCCAAGCAAGTAATGGCATCAGAGCGCCTGAAATATATGGTAGATGCGATAATTACTTACGCATTTCTAAATATACGACTCAGATGTTGATAGATTGGGGTGAAATAAGGCACTGGATACTGCTTTACAGGACAGTGCTGCTTAACGATTTTTGATGTCTTCACGTGAGCAGATGTGGTTGGATCAGCTTGGAGACTTGTAGCCATATTGCAGCACTACCCAGGCATACGCACAGAGGTGACTTCCATCTGGTACTGCACCAATGTGACGAGAACAAAAATAAGCCGATGCCACTGCGTCTTCTTTATCCTGAATCATTTTCGGTCTCGCATAAGTCACGTCAGGCTTAAGCTATAGGTCAGGCGAAGCATTCACCTGGAGACCTGAAGGGATAATGCCGACCAAAATTTAGCTGCTATCGCGAAGTCAATAGAACAGGGGTGGTTGAATGTAAGCGTCCTTAGATTGAGACTTAAAATGAGAACATCCTTTGTGATTATGATTTTTAGTGAAAGTTGGTGTGGCTGATCCCACATGCTCCACATTTCGTGGCACGTGTGTGTTCATGTGTTCCCAGGATTACATGAAAAAAACTCACAAGCCCGCGATCCCTGGTCAGAGAATTGCACTGGTGATTGACGATCCAAGCTGAGGTGTTGACTGGTCTTGTATGACTGCCAATTATTGGTTTTTGGCATCAGTAGCTACAGCAAAAACTGCTCGTCATTTATCGTTTGAATCGCGTTTCCCGGTATACCCAAGCCCCTCGGATTACTTCACCGCACTGCCGTTCCCTCCCCCCCCCCCCGCCCTGTCCCCGTACCCTTGCGGCTCGGGTGGCGACTGGCGGGGCCCGTCGTCAGGGGGGGGGGGACGCTGGCGCCATGGTCACGGTCAGGTTGGAGTACTGACCGCTGGGAAACCCGCCCGCACCAGCCTGTGATAAAAGTGCCGCCGGCCGCCGATCGCCAGCAGTGCTCCGCCGGGCGCCGTGCTGGAGGGTCAGAGCTGAGCGTCTTCAGTTCCCGAGAGAGACGACCAGCAGTCATGAAGAACGGAGTGCTGTGCATGGTAAGTAAAGTGCCTTACAAGGCCTTTTGAGGGCCGGTGTGCGGCGTGCTGATACATACCGCGTGAATGTGGGAAGGAATGTCTCATTTTTCCGCGCTTTACTACGTCGAGCGATCAAGTTCTGGGTAGAAGGCGTTCGAAGTCAATCAGTTTGCCGCATGAATGGCTGGATGCAGGCCTTCAGGCATCATGGTGTTGTTTGCACTTCGATCGGGGTACTTATGCTGTTGCATACATTGCTACTGTTCGCGGGATCTGATGTCTAAACTCCACACGAGAGATGCAATGTGATTTTTGTGTGATGCGCTCGTGGACAGCTGTATTAGTGTTTCAAATAATGCATAGATCAGGGTTTTGAAGGCGTAGGTCGTGCATGAGTGCAAAAGCGACCCATTTGGCATGCAATCTCTGAACAATGTGGTGATTTTCGTTCCCAAGTAAGGACCACAAAACTGTACGAAAGCTTGCTTCCTGAATGCTTCGCAGCATTCTACAGTATTGTAGAGTTCAGGATGACTGGCAGACTGAAACATTGCAGCGTTTAAGGTTTTGATGTGTTCCAAGCAACTGCAATAGTCCATCTTGCGAACAGCACAAACATTGGAATCCTGCAGACCGGTTTTGCGTGCCGCACGCAAATATTGGTGTGCTGCACGCAGGTTTTTCGTGTTGTTCGCCGCGCATGCTTTCGACGAATAACGTTCGGCTGTGACGTAATGACCCGTCCCGCACCGCTCCCTCCCAGCTCCTTGGACTACAAGTTGCTAATGACAGCAACATCAAGATCCGCCCGTCGGTGTCATGTAAGGTGGTGCAAAGCCATGTTAAAAGTATAATGTGTGCGGTACCGAACGCCAATACCCGCCACTTTTTGAACACTTAGCTCTTTATCACTGGCAAAGCCGTCTCTGAATGAGCAAATATGTGACCAATCAGCGTCTTTCGTTTTCATTCAATTGTTCTTCAGCTGAAATTGGTAGATCACCCGTGTGATGTACGTTGTTTTCTTTGGTGCGTGTTCTTTGACTTCAGTGAAGCGCATTCATTGCCTTACGTTTGTTTCCTCACAAATATTGAACTGGTATTATGAGTTCAGACTTCTTGTGCTGAGTTATCGACCTGCAATATGCTAGGAGAAACTGGCTAAACAATGTTAAACAATGCAAGCATTGGTTGTATTGACTACTCGTGGATGTAACCAATGCTTGCTCTATAACTTCGGTTAACCAGTACCGCCTGGAACACTAAACGATGAAAACTCAGCATGAAGCCTCTGAACTCATAATGCCAAGAAAACAGGAGCTAAGGACCTTTCTTGTTATATCAAGCACAATTGTAGTTGCACAGACTATGGCTTGTTTAACCGTGGCGAGATTTCCTTGCACTTGGTAGAAAAACAAAATACAGCACTTGGCTGCCCTGCGCCCTCGAGACTCCACATAGTATGCTTCAGCTTTGGCACGCTTGCTATGAGTTAACAACGTGACGTGAAATGACGACGAATTGAACGTCTCGAACTCCCAATTACGTGATTCATCGTTATCTTCTGACCAAGATGAGGATCCTGGTGCCCTGCTCATGCACCGTTCCACAAATCCTTTCCACGAATCCGCATCGTCCCAACCGAGCCCGGTTTGCGCTGTGATGTGCTCGTTTTGTGGCGTATTTTTAGGCTGAGGAGCTCGACAGCTTGCATGTCAGGTTTTCTGACCACCTTCCCCTTCCCCGTGCAGTCTGCCTCAAAGCTGACGGCTCGACACCACGCCAGGATCACTGTCCCACGTTCGCCGGATGTGCTTCCCTCGCTAATGAAAAGCGTTAATGGATCGGCGCGGCATCTCACATCACAAAGGCATCAAAGTCATTTGAACCACATGAAGGATGATCTGTGACCAATCCAGCTCGACACATCTGGCTTCTGGGATTTCCGCAGCTTTTACCGTTGTGAAGGATCCCATATCGAAGGCATTCAGATCTCGATTTGTGGGCCGCGTGTGGTGTTGCATTGGTGGAGCCTTCCAGTGTTGTGCGTTTTTACGTCTGCTTTTTCTTATGCTCACTATTTGATGGGACAACAGAACGGCATGCTCCTGCCGGCGTTCGTGAATCCAAATCGGCTGTTAGCATCGTTGGGGCGCAGTCTTAACCAGGGTGTTAAAACCCCCCGGAGTAAAAGGTTCAGTGGAGACCGATAGGTCTTTGCTCAGACCCAAAGAAGACCGAAACCAACGAGAAATTCAGTTTAGCCATGAATGGGAAATTAAGGTTACAAAAAAGAGTTAAAATTGATAGATCAAAATTGTCTGTAGAAAGTGTCACCTTCGACAAAATTATTGGGCTTCGGCACGCTAATCTTTACCTTCTTGTCACCGCGATATTTTCCTGTTCTCCTCGAGGCTCATAACACGGTGTCACCACAACGCCTCTTTGCTCGGCCACCCATACTTGCACAAGGCCTTATTTGTTGCTGACAAGACCCCTAAGTTAGCTTTCCTCCGAGAAGTTTAAGACGTTTTGCGAGATACGCACGTGCAAAAACCGTCGCGTCTCAAGACGGGCAGCGGGGCAGCTTAGCGTCTTACTGCGGCTCGGGATCCAAACCAGCTGCAGCGTCGTGCCCGCAAACGCCATTGTTTTCCTCTCGCGTCCCACTGCGGGCTATGGCGGGCGAGAGAGCGTGGCGGCCTCGGTCGCCCGAGCACCGGCCATTGTGTCGGCGGCCGCGGCGACATCCCCAGGAAGCGGCCGCCGCCTGTCGCCGCCGGTGACCCGTCCGCTTCGCCTCGTTACCCTCGCCGCCGCAGACGTGCCGCCGCCGGCGGTGCGTGCCTGTGGTCTGTCGCCGTCCCGACCGGACACGCTCTGAAGTGTCGACTCGGGTGGTAACCCCGTGCCCACTGTGAGGCGGCCTGTTAGCGCAGCCAGGCGACTGCGGATGCGCCGACTGCAGAGCCGTGGTGATTACGCCACTCGGTGCAAACGGTCGCTTGGACCCGTCTCTGTGCTCATGGACTGGTGGTTAACAAATCCCGGCTGACACGTTACCGACTGCATGCCATTCCGAGCTCGCGCCACTTAATCAGCGGGCTGCGGGATCTGACCTTGCCCCTGAAAGTCAAGACGCAGCGGCAGTCGCCTCGGGGCGTCACTTACCAGTCACGAACCCGCTGGTGCCGGGTTCCACGGCCAGCTGGACCAGTTCGGCCGGTCCAGTGGACCACTTGGGCCGATCCCCGCCCACGTTTGTGGCGCGGCGTGGCGTGGTATCTCCGCCATCTGCCGGGCACCGCCTCTAAGATTCTATTAGCCCCCACCAAAAGGCACGACTGCCTCGCTTCAGAGTTGTATAATCGGCTCGTGCTCCCGGTGCGGTGTTGGGCGACCGCGAGCCACGCCCATCACCCGCTGTGCACCAGAGCACGCTGCATGTGCACGAGAGCTGTCTAGAGGTCTACGTGCACGGACGCGATCCGTGTTTCCGATAAGGCAACAATCGTCCGTCCGGTAGGCAGTGCGGGGCAGCGGCTCGGCGCGAAAGCGCGCAAGCCCGGCTTGGGTGGTAGGTGTCATATGGTGACGTCACTGGCCTCGTCAGCGGCTTTGAACGTTGCCCATGACATGAGCTTTCTTAGAACAATGTAGTCACTAGCGACTGGTATATGACTAAGTAGCTGATGGCAAGCGCTTCGCGATTCCAGCACACGATAGCATGCCAACCGCTAGAAACGCACGACGACATATCAAACGCTAAATAGGCACGACATGGTGGCAAACACGTGTCGCCGCCGCCCAAATGACCCGGTGATCCGGTGTTCTCCTTTCAGGTCGTGCTGACGGTGCTGGCGGCGCAGCGGGCGACGGCGGCCCGGCCCGATGTCCAAACCTGCCAATGCCGCCTTCGGCACGATCTGTACCAGAGCGGCAAGCTGGTGGGCGGCTCATGCTACGCGATCGGCGTCGGCCGCTGCCAGTCGTTCACCATCGAGCCGCTTCAGTTCTCGAGCGGTTTCTCCAACAGCCCGACGAGCCGCCCGGCCACGTTCAGCTCCCAGCAGCGCTTCCCGAGCCGGTTCAGCCAGCAGCGACGCCGCCCGACCACCCGCCGCCCGCTCGTCCACCGGCGCCGCTTCAGGCCCCGGTTCGAGCCGGTGATGAACGTCTCTCCGGATCGGAGGTTCCAGGCTGCGCTGGCCACGCGGCGCCAGCTGCAGGAGCAGCGCGCCTTGGAGGGGCGTATCCTGCGCACTGGCGTCGGCCGGGTGCGGCCCGGCACGCCGTCGGCGGCGCTGGCCTCCGAGAAGCGCGCCGATGCTAAGTCGCTGGCGCTCGGGCAGCAGGCGCTGGCGCAGATCCTCTTCCTGCAGAACCTGGTCGGCGGCGGCCGTCGCCGATGATTTAACGCAGGTCAGCATGGGCGCCCTTGGATTTGATGTAGCGAAGTGTCGAAGCTGTTCGCGTCCGTAACTGTATAATTCCGTAAAAGGACCAAGTAAAGGCTTACAAAAGGGCTTAGCACTTCCGCAAACGACTAGCAACATCTCCTGCCGAGTTTGCTCAGTTCATGAGAGAAAAAATCCTTCGGTGATGGGAACACCACGCTCCGCGCCGGTGACTAGGTAGCAACCTTGGATGACCGGCTGCGTCTTGCGCCGTCTGTAGTTGCGCAGAGACTGTGTTACTGTGGTGCAGCGACAGGGTCAGCCAACCCTCTCCCCCGTCATCCCTCGGCCTTCCGCCATCTGTTGCTTCCCGCCGGCTACCATCCCTTACTACCTGCTTGTCTGCTGCCTGAAGGTCCGCGTGATAAATGTGGGTCGGTGGTCCGAGGCTCAGACTGGGGATCCAGAGGATGTCAGAGCCAGGGATCCAGAACGTTTCCTGGTGTTCGATGTCTGCTGGTCTGGGATAAACGTAGCCTTACGCTGCGACATTCACTAGAACTCCTGGCGTCTGATCCTGACAACAGATTGCCAGTCGTGTGTGACAGGGATTAAGATGCTTCGTATACCGTTATTGGGACGTCATGCACTTGCAGATAAGAACCCTGGTCCGGTTCCTGCCCCAAAGTGGCGCGCTAATCTTCGGTGACGAGGACGCGCGGCACTTCTCGGCTCACATCGCGGAGGCCGCTAAGCTAACCCACCGTCGCGGTCTGAGCCTCGCGGCGCCTGTGTGTGTCTGCGTGTGCTGGTCACCAGTAGCTTCTTCCGCCAACTTATAAGTTCTGTATTTTTCATTACGATCAACTGATGGCTGTTACAACCACTTCGACACCTCGAGATAAAGGTGTCGGAATATGGTCTTTCCATGATGAGTGGGAAAGTTGTTTTTTACTCTCCTCTCCCTTCAAGGGCGTGCAAGGCTTCCAGGCACCCAATTATGGTCTGTTGACGCCTGCCTCGGCACAGCTCCGCGTTCCATACCCGCTATCGGCTGCCAAGATCTGGGTTCCCAGCCTTCTTCCAATCCTTTACCTGTTGCGGACGGGGGAGCCGACGACCGGCCAACATCCGCCATCAAAGGGAGGGGATGGTGGTGATCCACCCCTGGCATGCCGAATTGCTGCCGGCCGTCCTGCCGTCCCGGGTTTTTCCTACCCCTGGTCTCCGTCGACGGCGTCTGCCCATTGCCACAGAGAGTTTCACTCCGCCTCAGCATTACGTCATCCAACCCACATACCTCCCCCCCCCCCCCCCGGATCGCTGCTCGATTCGGCCTGAGCCGCCAAACTGGCAACATCGCACCTCCCGTTGCGCGGCCGTGGCTGTGCTTAATTCGCCGCGGTGACGGAGATCTTTCCTCTCTCGGCAGGGTGACCGCAGGCGGGGGGCGGAACCACAGCGGAGTTCGCTGCGGACGAGCCCGCCTGGGATTTGGCTGAGACAGGCTGCACGCGCGGCGGCGGCTGGGGCGGCGGACTCGGCCCCCGCCGCGTCACGTGGGCGACACGGCATTGTTTTATATTCGGGTCCTGGTGAACGGCGGAGGGCGGTGTACTTCCCGGAAGCGCCCCCGCCGAGTCGTCTCGGCTGTTGTTGTGTTGTGTGACTGACATCTGCACGCACGGGGCTGTGCCGTGTCGCTGTTGCGCATGTTGTGTACATAGAGAGGGGTGAGGGCAGCGTTCAAATGACCCCCGCGCCCCGAGAACTCACGTCGCAGGGCTCGTTCAGCGCGCCGCTCTCAGCCCCACTCTCCTTCGGCTTGTCTGCATGTGACTGTGAAGGCTGTGTACCTGTTGTGCTGGAACGGTCCGTGCAGCCGCGGACAGACGGTCAAACGATGTGTCAGGTACGAAACCGCGGTACTGATGGCTCAGGTATTGCCGCGCGGCTCCAGCGCGTTTTGCGACGTCATTCCCTATTTCACGATCATTTGCGAGCGCTTTTCGCGTTGTTTTTAGACGCTGTGCGCGTTTCAAGGTACATGACTGCTTTAATGACGAAGCGTGGGCGGTGTGGTATGACTCCGCGTGTAAACTGTTGAACAAAGCGCGGCCATTGTCTGCGAGAAGGGGTCTGATATGGCATGTGAGTTGTTTGCGATGCCACTGTCTGTGCGATGCATCGCTCGCCGGCGCTTCGCGCGCGGTGCGACGTGCGCCGTCTCGTTCGCGGCCCGGCTGTGCTGTGACTCTTCCAAAGACATCGCGTGGTGGGAAATACACGGACGTCCGACAGTGCGGTTCTCAGCGGTGCGTGGGAAAGGTTGGAGCCGGGCGCGGCTGGAGGCCGGCCGGCGCTGCCGGCGAGAATCGACACTGCACCGGGGTACCGAGAATCGACCACTCACCCGGGGGACCGCAAGTCCCCTACCACTGCTCACCGGGGGACCCATCTCCCGCCTAACCACTCGCCGGGGGACCGCAGCTCCCGCCTACCACTCGCCGGGGGACCGCAGCTCCCGCCTACCACTCGCCGGGGGACCGCAGCTCCCGCTACCACTCGCCGGGGGACCGCAGCTCCCGCCTACCACTCGCCGGGGGACCGCAGCTCCCGCTACCACTCGCCGGGGGACCGCAGCTCCCGCCTACCACTCGCCGGGGGACCGCAGCTCCCCTACCACTCGCGGGGGACCGCAGCTCCCGCCTACCACTCGCCGGGGGACCGCAGCTCCCCACCGCTCACCGGGGACCGCAGCTCCGCCTACCACTCACCGGGACCGCAGCTCCTCTACCACTCACCGGGGGACCGCAGCTCCCGTCTACCACTCGCCGGGGACCGCAGCTCCCGCCTACCCAGGCATGACAGAGCTCGGACTCGGGTCCCGTATGCGCTGCAGACATGCAGCTGCGGGCAGTGACGCTTCCTCGCAATGGGTGGTCCGCGTCCGGCTGCCACTTTACTGGTCCATTCACTTCGGGATCATGTCCTTGAATTAGGACATGGTCCCCGCGAAGGCCGACATCCGCCTGACGGTCTCAGAACAAGCGGGCTGGGATGCGTCACTCATAGCTACTGAAACAAAGTCCTAACTAGTAAAAGTAAAACCCGAGGAAAAAGGTAACAGACTCTGTTGTCAACTGGACGGCCTTGAAACATCTGCGTCGATGTCTCTCGTGACGTCATGCATGCTTACAGATCACTGTCATCCACGCAATGGTGAATAACGTGAGACGGCCCTGTATCTGCCGTCATTGCATTCTTGCTGGCGTCTTTAGGCCTTCGTTGCTCATCGGCTGGGACTCGGACGTGGACTGGGACTCGGATGTGGACTGGGATTCGGGTATGGACTGGGACTTGGGTGTGGACTGTGACCCGGGCGTGTACTGGGACAGATGTGGACTGGAACTCGGACGTGGACTTGGACTCGGATGTGGACTGGAACTTGGGCGTGGACTGGGACCACCCGGGCGTGGACTGGAACGGATGTGGACTGGAACTTGGGCGTGGACCGGGACCACCCGGGCGTGGGCTGGGACGGATGTTTACTGGAACTTGGGCGTGGACTGAGACCACCCGGGAGTGGACTGGGACGGATGTGGACTGGGGCTCGGACGAGTCTTTGAACCGTCTGCAAAAGTCTCAGCTGGCTTGAAGAGCTGATGCGTTGTGGCGCGCCGCCAAGCCTCCCGCAGCGGTTTTTATGGAATGGTAGGTTACGTAAGGGCAGTTGTTGCCCTCCCGCTCATGTAAACCTCGATGCACAGGCTCGAAGGCGGCAGGATATGCGCGGCGAGAGGGACAAGTCGTCTTGGACCTTAACGTGAAGTTCATAAGTACCAGTTCAACTTTGCACGACATGTGATCTATATTGGAGGGGTTGGGGGCGGCAAAAGTGCAAGAAACGTCAGAAAAAGACTACGCCGGCTCAGCAGACGAAATGTCTGCTGGTGCTGGGCATGCACATGGAACGCAAGAAAATATGTCAGCCTCTGAAAGATCCGTCGGCAAAAATATAAAAGAGATCGTGGATCCCGAGGATCCATGGGTAATTTTTCAGAAACCGTCCAAGATTTCAGAAGGCTATTTGGCAAAGTTCCAGAAGCGATTAAAGACTGTGAGGTGCCTCGGCAAGATTTGTAAGAGCACCGGTGATCACAGCACCTTTCCCGTCAAAATTTATATGTATCTTGGATCCTGGAAGATCCAGGGCCCAGGACATGTCATCTTTGCGGAGGAAGATCGTGCAGAAAGTTATGTGTCGCCCGCTTAAGCAGATGATGCGGGTTTTTAACGCAGGTTTTTCTCGGTTCAGTTTTTACCAAAGCTGAAAGATCGGTCACAGATGGCCTGAATCCTGCGGTGCCTCCGCAATGGCGCAGTTGGATAAGGCGATTGTCCAAGGCAGGCTTCATTGGTTGGTGGGATGCCTTTGGTTCAGCTCTGACACGTGACAGAGTTTTCCTCGACCGGCTCCTGCGCGGGAGATGGTAGCAACAGGGGAATGTTCGCCCCGTCGCAGGATTCACGCTGCACCGACCAGCAACCGCGACGGCAGGACACGGGTGCGATCCGCCTTTTAATAGATCCTTCGCTCCGAGGACATGCCCCAGGGAGGCGGCCTTGCTTCATGCCACTGGAGCAGTCCTCTGATTTACAGGGCGGTGCGCGCTAGTGGTGCCATCTGGGCTGTCTGACGGGAAGCGTGTGGTCAAAACTGTCCCGCAAGGATGTCGAAAATATGAAACCTTCGCGGTGTGAGTAGAACGTGTGCTATTAACGTGCTTCCGACAAAAAAAAACCATCTCAGGCACCAGAAATATCACGAAAAAGTCCTGTGGTGCGCTGATTCGTTCCGAACCTAACTCATTACTGCCAAATGCCACTGAAGCCGATGACAGGCTGGATGCTATTTATAGAAAGACCACGATTTTGGCAGGCTACTGTAACTATGCAACCTAAACTCTGAAAACGAGACATTTCGCCCCATCTTGGACTAGTCCGTGTGCTATTTCAAGAAATTGTATAGGATGACGTGAAATGACTTGAAAAATTGCTAAATAAAGTGTTGACAAAGAATGGTGGACCTCCAAGGTATTCTTTGCTGAAGGTATATAACAAAGGCGATATACGTGAGCACTCAGCGGCAATTTTTTTTTTTTAAATCTCAGGCCACAGAATCTTAGGCCTTGGATTTTCTTTTATATGGGTCATGGTTCCAGAAGATCTTTTGTAAGCTCATTGCGTGCAAGGTGCGTACCAGAGCCACTGACAACTGAATCAGGTGTTAATATGACCATAATGCTATTTAGGACTCCACAAAATGGTTCGTGACGACGTAAGTCGCGTTTCTTTTGAAAAAGAGGCATGCAACGACTGCATGCAGGAGGCATGCGGTGATGCTGGGCGGAAACGGAATGCGGAGGATTTGGTGAATGTGAATTGATTCTGAAAGCTGCATGTCAAGTGGCAGATTCTGGCCGCTATTCAAACAATCATATTGTGTGTTTCCAATGTTGCGCGTGGCCATCGCATAAGGACCTGTCCCACGCAATAAAGAAAATGGAGAAATAAAGAAAAAACGCGTGTGAGGAATTATTCTGTGTAAAGAACTGATGTCGCTGCCGAAGACGTTTGACCCGGGCAAGTTGCGTGCTGTGCATGAATACCGATGCCACGAGTAGTGAAGAACAATGGGTAGCCTGTGGTTGTAAATGCAGCGTAAACCCTATTAGTCCGTTCTAAGTATTGACGAGCATTTTGCAGCCCGCACAATTTTTTTCATGCCGTTTAAGCACGAGACGCCACGCGCAACGGTTGAGCCTCTGGAACGGCCCAGTGTTGAGGTCTCCCCGAAAATGACGCGGCGACATGGTCTCAACCCGCCGCGTGCCACATGGACGTCCGTGGCAGTGCGGCGGCCGTATTAGGGCCATGACCAGCACGCATGCTGGAACCATCCAGCCTGTCCCAGCCGACCAGTACAGTCAACGCGACGGTGTGTTTTGACAAGTGGCGACCAGACTTTCACAAGGCAGCTGACCTGCCTGAAAACTGACCCTCTATTTAAGGGACCGTCTCAAAAGGACGTGCCAACAAAGACAGACTGCCCCTGGGCGCGTACATGGCCGCTCGGAGTAGCACATGCGTCATCAACCGACGAGGTAGCGTATGGTAGCAGCTCATGGTAGCATGGAGCCATGGTAGCATGGCGCATGGTAGCAGCGCATGGTAGCAGCGCATGGTAGCAACGCATGGTAGCATAACGCATGGTAGCAGCGCATGGTAGCAGGGCATGGTAGCAGCGCATGGTAGCTGCGCATGGTGCCAGCGCATGGTAGCATGGCGCATGGTAGCAGCGTATGGTGGCATGGCGCATGGTAGCAGCGCATGGTAGCATGGCGCCCTGGTAGCAGCGTATGGTGCCATTGGAAGCAGTTGCCCCGCAGCCGCACGCCGCTCGCAGCGCCACACCTGCAGATGTGTGGCAAACGGTCTCGTAGCGAAACCAGGCCACAGCGCTTCCGACCACACGCCACCGACCAAGTGTGGCATGAATCAAGATGTGTTCCCTGGTGGCGTTGCATTCTGTCTGGATCAAGGCGACTAAATCACCGAGACAGCCTGTACGGAGAACGCTTAGTCTGTTTATAAAGTAAGCAGCGGACATCGTGCACCGAAATGCGTGGCATTAGTCTAACTCCGTGCCACACCTCAGCGTTTGTCCTAACCTCCTTTGTTCGCCCTCACCAGCTTTCACCTGGCTAATTGAGGTCACACAGGATTCTCGAACTATAAAAAGGTAACGTTTGTACCGTCTTAGGGTCTTGTACCGTCACTACACTTGACATTAATTCCGGCCAAATACATATTGTCTGTTTTCGATTCAATTATTCAGAATAGTTATTCAGAGCAGAACACTCACAAAAATGACAATCGGATATGTACGAACAAAGTAACTGAAAGGTGATATAAAAACATATACGTGTCGCATCAATCTTGCAATGGAGGGAGCAATCCAGCCTTACAAAAAACGAGGTGAGGCATGAAGCGTCGATGCTAACATTTCTATTTGCGGTTCGGAAACGACAGGAACAAACCAGTAAGCAGACGATGAAAGGGACGTACGATTTGACGAAGATATCAATGACGCTTGAACACATCGAACACACGCACACGCACGCACGCACGCACACACACACACACGCACACACACACACACACACACACACACACACACACACACACACACACCACACACACACACACACACACACACACACCACACACACACACA